GAAGAGAAAGTAGATGTCAGGCATGAGGCCTTAAATACAGGATGGTCAACACCCGTTCAACCCACACAAACTAGTTGGGGAGGAAAAAATGCACTAATTAAATTATTCAAATATTTTGTTGTTATGAAAATGGCCAATAATATTTTTTAAAGTAATGATACTACTTAGGAAGTTAAAGAAAATCAAGATTTTGGTCTCACCTCATCTCAGATCCCCTCAGACTTTTTAGTCACCTCATTGGGATTTCAAGTCCTCCTAAGGAACCTGCTGACGAGACTCTCTCCAATGACATGGGACCAAAGAGGAAAGCAGCCCCCCCCCTCTTTCTTCCTCTCCCCCCCCCCTTTATTAAGTGCCTAGTGTAGCTGTACCTCTGTAAGGGACTTTATTAAGTACCTCTTGCATACCTGTCAAATAGTAAGGGATGAAGGGGGACAGATTGTGGTGCAGCAATGAAACACAACACCCTGCAAGGCCAACCCCGTGGGAGGGTTCCAGGTTTGCATCCGGAAACCTCACTGAGCACAGGGCTCATGCCTGTGATCTGGGCTGGCTGAGGCTGGAGGGAGATCACAGTGTCAAGAGCCCATTTTGGGTGCTCTCTCTGTCTTTCTCACTCATGAAATAAATAAACTTAAAAAAAATGCACAGTAGGGGTTGCTAAGACAGAGACTTCTCTTGAGTTTATCATTTAGCTGTTAAGACAAATCAGAACTCTTGATTCTCAGAAAAGATCAAGTGACAGAATAAAGAACTCCCCCACCATGAGGGACCCAAAGAGAGCTGCCAAGGAGGAAAGCAGAGGCCCAGGGAAGGCTGTGATGGCAGGGAGGGGCCCACAGATGTCTCTTCAGTTGCAGGATTTCGAGTGAGGAGTCAGCAAGCAGGACAGAGGAAGGGCCAAGCAGGGGCAGGCTGGGTGTGTGAGGGGTGGAAGGTGGTAAAACCAGGCTACTCAGGGTGCAGGCCTTGAATGCCAGGTTGGGGCTTCTAGGAAAAACAAAGGAAATACAAAAGAGAAGACGGTAAGAGGACAGTGAGGATGAATGAGGAAACAGGACAAAGCTTCCGAGCTTCAAAGTTGGTGAGGTCAGAGAGAAACCCATGTTCTCGAATAGCCATTATGTTAACCCTTATATCTGCATTGTTTTTTTAATTAATTTTGAAACTTTTTACATTTAATGCCATGGGATGTTGCGTTATTGTTGTGGGATCCTTAAAAAATCATGGGGTTGGGGGGACGCTTTCCTACAAATGGCACTGGTGCTCAGAGTTGTTGAGTAACCAGCCCCATTACTTACGATTGACAGCAGAAGGTGGGAGGGGCATGGTGGGGGGAAACCCAGGGGAAATTCAAGTCCCCTGATGCCAGTTCTGGAATACAAGCTCAAGGACCATCTGAAGTATGACCCTACAATAGAAAATTTGGACAATGGCATCAGAAGGGCCTGTATTCACATCTTGGTTCTCTCACTAACTGAGAGCCCTCTGTGCCTCAGTTTCCTCTCCCACAATGGAGGACTATAATACTGTCTTCTCACATATGTGTGGAGAGGATGGAGTGTGAACAAGGGAATCATTTAGCATGGCTACTGGCAGCTAACAAGAGCTCAGTGTACCATAGCTGCCATCACGCTCGATCGAGTGAGTCCCAAGAGTGACTGAAGGAAGAGAGCCCATCTGCAAACCAATCTGCTGTGCTTATGGAGGCCTGTCCTGTGCCTGTGGAGAACGAGAGAAGTGCACGCTGCTGCCTCAGGAGGCCACACTTCTGTCACACACAGGACCGGCGACAGGAGCAACCCCAGAGCAACTGCAGGGCCAGGCTGGGCCCTCAGACTAGAAGACCCTGAGCCAACCGGTGACCCAGTTTGGGGTTGCAGCTACAACTCTAGTGCTTCCCTCATAGCTTTAAAATTATAAATCAGCAATCACTTTTGATTAACGACTAAACCACTCCAGCTTTCCTAAGTATGCCCATAGACTTAAAAAGTATTCATTTTTCTCTACAGGTACAACTTCTGTAGCGAGGAAACTGTGAGAGAGGACACTCTGCTCACCCTCACTCCCTGTTAAACTCAAGGTGCAATATGGTCCCTTGTTAACATCAATAAAATCCGTCGATGCATTTACCTACTCAGAGCGTCTGCATTGTCCCCGCCACCTGCGGGGATACATGGGAATTGAACACTTACATATTTCATGAACACGTTGGCATAGTTGGGTTTCTGGCCATTGACTTCCAACCACACACCACTTTGGCCCCGGCTTTCTATCTTCGTACTCTGTCTTCTCTCTACCTGACGGTGGCAACTAACGTCAGAACTAGAACGTGAGCCTTCAGGGCCTCGGCAGAGCCTTCAGCGCCACCTCATCTTAGTGAGGAAACTAAAGCTCAGAGAGGGAACGTGAGCTGTTCTGACGCCCGTAGTGAATGACTGTCCCCATCAGGACTGAGGGTCGGATCCCTGACTCCATGCTCAAGGTCCCTCAGAGGATGTGCCATCTTTGTGGTGGTGGCAGAAGCACTGACAGGCTTCTAGCTCCTACTCGTCCAGAACCTGGGGTCTTTAGCTGCTTCAGGACCCCTCTCTCTGCCTGCTGGGCAGGGGGTCTCCCAGGACATGGCCCTGGACTTTAAGGGGTCCAAGAAATAGTTTCTGAGAAGTGTCCAGCACAAGCCCTGATGAGACAGGACTTTCTGTCAGCCAATCAGCTGGGGTCACTGGGGAGCCCTCAGCCAAGCCATCACCATGGGCCTCACCTACACAGACACGGGAAGGAAAGGAGTTCTTCAAGGTATGCCAGCCTGTGCTGTCCAGAAAGGTCGCTTCCTCCCCAGAGGGGTTCCTCTTTTGCACGTTAGCCCTCCTCCCCCCATGGAAGTGCCCTGGCTATCTATTTCTAACCAGCAGTGCCATGCCAAGCTATCAAACGTGAACGTGAGGGGGCTCTGGAGTGTTCCCTGAGAGCAGTGCTGTGGTAATGGCTGGGGGTAACTGCAGGGAAGGGCCTCATAGCACAGAACATGGGGGAGTTTCAGTAAGCAGTGGTGAGGGTGAGGGTGAGGGTGAGGGTGAGAAAGATGAAGGCAGTGGCAGGGGACACCCAGCCCCTTAGATGGGGCTACAGAGTGAGAGAGAATGGAGCCCAGGGCTGAGGCCAGAGCTGAGTATCCCATTGTCCCAGGATCACATAGACAACCACAAGCCCACAGCTAGGCAAGGCAGCACAGTGCTGGCAAAGGAGTCAGCCACAGGTTGTGTCTGCAAACATTTTCTGTGCCAGGCCCTGGGGAGAGAGGAGAGCAGATGCCATTGCCTATGCCCTTGGGACTGCGCAGGAGCGGGGAGCACTGCACCTGAAGAAATGCCCCCATGCTGCCTTCTAGCACGAAAAGCCAAGTGTGTTAGGACAGGGTGACTCAGAAGAGGGAAGGAACAAAACAGGAAGGCTCCACAGAGGTGTGGTTCTAGGTTCAGACTTGAAAGAAGATGTCATTCCAAGGTTTCAGGCTGGGTGGCCAGTTAGGAGGAGGCAGCCTCTGCAGGTGTACAGGCACAGGGTGATGAGGACCGTCTCAGGGCAGTGAATGGAGCGGGTGTGGTTGGCTGGCCATGGGGAAAGCCATGCTGTCTGCTTGCTCTGTTCCCCAGGCCGACAGACATGGATGATAACTTGGGGGACATAATTTTAAGCTAGGAGAGGGAGGGCCCCATAACCTAGTGCTTAATGGAGCCAGATCCCACATGACAGACCACAGTTGGAGTTCCAGCCTTGGTGGCTTGAAAAACACACAGGTCACATGCCCCAAATCCCCACAGGATGGAGAAATGGAGAAAAGATTGCAGCACAATCACTTCCCATTAAGAAGTACTTTCTGCCTCTGTCTCTTTGTCTCTCTCTTGGAATAGTACATATACCTCTGGCAATTAAAAAGAAAAACAGGGAGAAAACAAAAGAGCATATAGCCACTCAGGGTGGAAATCCATTAGGGAGGCTCCACAAGGCTGTTGGCCATGCCATACACACTCAGCCCAGGCCCTGAGTCTCGGGGAGCTGGGGAAGCCTGGGTCCTGATTGCAGGTGCACAGATGGCTGTGTGCTGCAAGGGCAGGGAAGAAGCTGTCTCAAGATGGAGACCCAAGCCTGAGTAATGCCAGGCCTCTGCTCTCTCCCCTCATGACCTTTCCTGGAACGTGTGCCCTTTTTTCAAATACGCAGCTGGAGAAAACTTCCAGGAGGGCAAAGAACAGCTGGTTCCAAGATGACCACTGTGGCCCTTGACTACTGATCAGTGTGGTCAACGAGCAACCACTTCCTCTCAGCACTGGGGAATCCAAGCTATGGGCTCTCCACAGTAGCTTGGACTCTCCCCACCCAAACACTGTGGGCTGGGGAGATGGGGAGTCTGAGGCTCTCTGTGTTTACTTTGGTAAACCTGCTGTGTCCCTGTAGCTCTGACCAAATCTCATCAAGTTGCCAGCCGTAAGGGGCTATGTCTGGCCAGTTTGATCGGATTTTGTTTTTGTTTCATATTTTAAATAACAGAAGTGGTGCATCATTCAGGGTCTTTGAGGCCATGAAAATATGCCATATTAATATTCTCTCTGTTAACATAAAGCTCAGATGGACACCCAGTCTGGTTGGAAGCAGCAGACAAGAGCACTGAGCTAGCAGTCAGGACTCTAATCAAGCCAGATGACCTAGTGGAAAGGGTTCCCACCTGTCTGGGCCACAGCTTCCACATAAGTAAAACAGAGGGCGCAATCCAGCACTGCCTTCCTCATATTGTCTAAATTTCTAACTAGAGCACCAACAGCACCATGAGAATGTAAACTCTAGCCTTAAATCAGTGTCCTATAAGATAAGCTAGTAACCTTTTAAAGAGCATGGCCACAGTCTGGCCACAGACCCCACAGCTACTAGAAGACTGTAGTCATATAGAGCCTATGGACCTGCTGGGCAGCAGTGCTGGTTAAGGTTGGCTTCATGGTCATTTGGTCCATGCCTTGCATACAACTCTGACATGCATGAGGCTGGCCCTGCCCCCAGGGGCATCAAGAACTAGCCAAGAAACGAAAGGATGCCAGATATTGTCCATCCTGGCTACAAACAGAATCACCCAGGAGATTTAAAAAAAGAAGAAAAAAGAAATCCCAGGCCCAACATGACCAGCTGAAGAACCCCTAAGATGTAGGCCTTTGGAGAGGTTTTGTGTTTTGTTTTTGTTTTTGTTTTTGTTTTTGTTTTTTCTATAGGTCGCTTGTGCTCGCCGGACAGATAGAGAGAGACAGAGAGACAGAAAGTGAGAAATCACCCTCCAGGGGGGATGGTCACGCCACAATCCCTTCTCCTCCATTCTCCTTTCGGGATCTTGGGCATGCACATACATGCGCCCGGCGTGAGTTTAAGCCACCGCGTCCGGGACCCAAACCATGGTAAACTACGTGGGAGTCCAATGACATAGCCATTACGCTAACTGCTGGTCCCAGATGTGGGCCTTTGTAAGAAGCTCATGGGTGATGCCCCTGAGTAGAGAGAGGAAGATCTGCCATGATTCAGGACTCTTAGCTCCAAGAGCCCTGGGTGTACTCTTCTCTGAGAAATTATTAATTCTGTGTTTTCATTAAGACAACAATCTACTAATTTTTACCACTTATAGAAATAAGTGGTAATTTGCAGGAAGCCTTTGTTTCCTGAATTGACATTTAATAAAATGAGTTCAATCAGCATATTTAAGAGACTTGTGAGAATGTTCTGGAAAGGATGATGTCCACGTATTCACTGAATCTGAGAACTCTTGGAGAGTGTGATCTGGGAAGAGACATCCAGCATTAGGCGTTCAGATTAGGGTTTGCACTGAGACATGGGACAAAGGAGGAGACATAAGCTGGAGGGACTTCAGGGTATGGAGATGTGGCAACGTCCCTGGTGGGGGGCGGGAGGGAACCACAGGTGAAAAAGCTCAGAAGAGGGAGAATGAGGTTTAGACTGTAACTGAGTCTTATCTAAGCAATCGTCAGGTAGGAAGGCATTGAGGGAGTGGCAGAAATGAAGCCATGGAGAGGCCACGTGGTGGCTATTTTAATGTGCTAGGACAGCAATAACAAGGACCACAAACCAAGAGGCTTAAACAACAGCTATTTATTGTCTCACAATTCTGGAAGATGAAGGGGTCAGCACAGTTGGTTCTTACTGATGACGAAGAGGGAGAATCTGTTCCATGCCTCTCTCCTAATTTCTGAGAGTTGGAGGGCAATCTCTGACGGTCCTTGGCAACCTCTACATTAACATCCATAATTTAATTTGGACACACAACACAGAATTTTTCATTTCCTCTTTTTATAAGGACACCAACCATATTGGATAGGGTCTACCTAGTAACCCTATTTTGCCTTTATTATTTCTGTGAAGACACTATCTCCAAACCAAGTCACACTCTGAGATACTGAGCGTTAGAGCGACTCCAACATACTTTATGAGAGGGACACGATTCATCCCAAAGCAGTGGCCACCTACTATGCTTTGAATATTCGTGTCCTTCTAATTTTTTAAAGAGAATTTTGTTATAGAGCACATGAGCTTGCCAGAGACACAGAGAGATAGAGAGAGAGAAAGTATGAAATCACCTTCCGGGGAGCATGGCCATGCTGCTACAATCCTTCTCCTCCATTCTCCTCTTGGGATTTGGGGCATGCATGCACATGCACCCAGCAAGAGTTTCAAGCTGCCGGGTTTGGGACTCAAACCACAGTCAACCATGTGAAAGTCCAGGGCCTTCACCACTACACCACCTCCTGGCCCCATGTCCTTCCAAATTTCACATTAAAATTTTATTTCCCATTGTGATGGTAATGAGAGGTGGGGCATTTGGGGAAATGATTAAATCATCAGGAATGATTTTTATCAAGAGTAAAGCCCTAATAAAAAAAGGATCAGAGAGCTGCAAGCCTTTCTGTCTCTTCTGCCACAGAACACAAAAGAAGCTACCCTGGAAGTAGAACGCAGCCTTCCTAGGACACTGAATCTGCTGGCATCTTGATGTTGGGCTTTTAGCTTCCAGAACTGTAAGAAAGAAATTCCTGTTCTTTATAAAGTACCCAGTCACTGGTATTTTATTTTAGCCAAAAAAT